TTTCTGAGGCGGTATCACTACGGAAGTAGATTACCCAACCTTCCTTCTGAGGAGTGGCTGGTGGGTTTGAACCGCCAGCCTTCTGGTTAGCAGTCAGGTGCCTTAGGCACTATGCTACCAGAGCTCCTGAGTGAATTCTTTAGTCAAAATTACCTAGTCTGTCATTACCAGAAGCTGTAAATTCATAATGCATTTTCTAATGTTAAATTATTACCTTGCATTTTGGGATAAACTCAACTTGGTTTACACAGTGATAAAACTGATTTGGCTAGTATTTTGTTTGGGAAAGATGTATTGGTTGCATGACCAATTTTTCTTTCCCATCCTCTTCCTACCAGATTAGTCACAAGGTTACATGGTCTCACAAAATTGAGTTGAATACTGTTTCATTCTCTTTATTTATGAATAATTTTTGTGAAATTAAGAGTTAATGTATATTGTATATTTAGTAAACCTTGATAATAAAACAATATGGGCCTAGTATTTTATTTTATGAGAAGGTTAACTCGTGCCTGACTTGTTTTCTTCACTGATTTTAGGAATATTGAGGTTTTCTAGGAATATTAAGGTTTTCTTTATTTGTTTTGATAGTTTTGGTTAACTAAAATTTTCTAGTGATTTGTCCATTTCATCCAAGTTTTTAAACATACTGGCACACCTTTACTGTATTATCCCCTTATTATCTTTTATATCTGTCACCTCTGTAGTACTATCTACTTTCTAATCTCTTACATTGTTTGTGTATTCTCTGATTTTCTTACTATTCTTACCAAAGATTTGTCCCACCACTTGTCTGTCATTTTGTCGTACTGTGGTGGCTGGCATTTTGCTCTGAGGCTACAAGCCATGCCACAGGTATTTCAGTTACCAGCAGGGTCATCCATTGTGGACAGGTTTCTGCAGAGCTTCTAGACTAAGAAAGACTGGGAAGAAGGAAGGGGTCATCCACTTCTCAAAGAATTGGCCAGTGAAAAGCTTACAAACAGCAGTGAATCACTGTCTGATGTATTACTGACAAAGTTTATGACTACCCCTAAAACATTGTCTGACGTAGTAATGGAAGATGAACCCCTAAGGTCGGAGGCACTCAAAATATAACTTGGGAAGAGCTGCCTTCTCAAAGTAGAGTCAACCTTAATGACATGTATGGAGTAAAGTTTTTGGTACCTTTGTTTGCTGATAGAGCATGACGGAAAACGGAGAAAAATAGCTGCAAACATCCGTTAATAATCAGAATGTACGGGTATGAATCTAGGAAAACTGGAAGTTGTCAAAAGATAAAATAGAATGCATACAGATCAATATCCTAGGCATTGTGTTATTGTTATTGTTATGTGCTCTTCAGTCGGACCCAACTCATAGCGACCCCTCCTTGGGTTTCCAAGGCAGTATCACTACAGAAGTAGATTGCCCCATCTTCTTTCTGAGGAGTGGCTGGTGGGTTTGAACCTCCAGCCTTTTGGTTAACAGTCAAGTGCCTTAGGCACTATGCTACCAGAGCTCCCATCCTAGGCATTAGTGAACTGAAATGGACTGGTATTAGCCATTTTGAATCAGACCATCATATGATCTATGCAGGGAGTGACAAATTGAAGAGGAACTGTGTCATATTCATCATCACAAAGAATGTTTCCAGATCTGTCCTGGAGTACAGTGCTGTCAGTGATAGGATAATATCCATGCACTACAAGGAAGCACAGTTAATACTACTACTACTATTCAAACTTATGCACCAAAGACTAAAGCCAAAGATGAGGAAATTGAAGATTTTTACCAACTTCTGCAGTCTGAAATTGACCAAACATGCAATCAAGATGTATTGATTATTATTGGTGATTAGAATGTCTTCCCAAGAGGGGACGACAGAGCAGAGCAGCAGCCAGGGATCCAGGTAAGGGACACGACCCAGGCCCTATCTTCACGAACCAGGAAAGTGAGTGAAAGAGAAGCCAGATGGGACGACAGAGCAGAGCAGCAGCCAGGGATGCAGGTAAGGGGAGGGACCCAGGTCCAACCCCCATGAGCCAGGAAAGCAGGAGAAAGAGAAGTCAGGGGGATGACAGAGCAAAGCAGTGCCAGGGATCCAGGTAAGAGGAGGGCAAAGAGGTTTCAAAAAGCTAAGCGAGACAAACTTGTCTGTCAGTTTGTCATACTGTTGTGGTTTGTGTGTTACTGTGAGGCTTGAGGCTGTGCCACTGGTTTTTCAAGTGTTGGCAGGGTTGCACTTGGTTCATAGGTTTAAATGCAGCTTATGGACTGAAACAGCCTAGGAAGAAGGAAGGAGGCCATCCACTTCTCAAAGAATTGGCCAGGGAAAATCTTATGAATAGCAGAGAACTACTGTCTGATACATTACTGTGCAACTTTATGAATAGCCTGGAAACATTATCTGATACAGTGCAGGAGAATGAGCCCCAGAAGTCAGAAAGCTTTCAAAATATGATGAGGAAAGAGCTACATCATCAAAGTAGGACCAACCTTACTGCTATGGATAAAGTAAAAGCTTTCAAGACTTCCATTTGCTTGTGTGGCATGACTCAAATTGAGGAGGAACAGCTGCAAACGTTCATTAATAATAGGAACATGGAATGTATGACGTATGAATGTAGGAAAATTGGAAGTTGTCAGAAATGAAATGGAGTTCATAGAGATTGATATCCTAGGCATCAGTGAGCTGAAATGGACTGGTTTTGGCCATTTTGAATCAGATGACATATGATCTATGCCAGGAATGACAAATAGAAGAGGAATGGCATAGCATTCATCATCACAAACGATGTTTCAAGATCGTCCCTGAAGTACAACACTGTCAGCGATAAGATAATGTCCATACACCTACAAAGAAGACCAGTTAATACGATTATTACTCAAATTTACACACTAACCACCAAAACCAAAGATGAGGAAATTGAAGATTTTTTCAACTTCTGCAGTCTGAAATTGACCGGACATGCAATCAAGATGTGTTAATTATCACTGGTGACTAGAATGCAAAAGTTGGAAACAAGAATCACTGGTAGTTAGAAAATTTAGCGTCAGTGACAGAAATAATGCTGGAGATCACATGACAGAATATTGCGATATCAGCGACCTATTCATTGCAAATATCTGTTTTCAACAACACAAACAGTGGTTATACACATGGATTTCACCAGATGGAGTACACGTGAATCAGATTGACTACATCTGTGGCAGGAGGTGATAGAAAAGCTCAATATCTTCAGCCAAAAAAGGCCAGGAGCTGATTGTGGAACAGACCATCAATTGGTCATATGCAAGTTCAGCTTGAAGTTGAACACAAATTAAAACAAGTCCACAAGAGCCAAAATATGACCTGGAATATATCCCTCCTGAATTTAGAGACCATCTAAAGAATAGATTTGATGCATTGAATGCCAGTGACCCAAAACCAGAAGCACTGTGGGATGACATCAAGAACATCATCCTTCAAGAAAGCAATAGGTCATTAAAAATATGAGAAAGGAAGAAAAGACCAAAATGGATGATCAGAAGAGACTCTGAAACTTGTCCTTGAGCAGAGAATAGCTAAAGCAAATGGAAGAAATTAGAAGATAAAAGAGCTGAACAGAAGATTTCAAAGAGCAGCTCAAGCAGACGAAGCCAATTACTATAATGAAATGTGCAAAGACCTGGAGTTAGAAAATCAAAAGGGAAGAACATTCCTGGCATTTCTCAAGCTGAAAGAACTGAGGAAAAAATTTAAGCCTCAAGTTGCAATATTGAAAGATCTATGGACAAAATATTGAATGATG